GGGGACAAAAAAAAAATTAACGTCCGCCAACGGCAGTCGTGACGTAGAAAAAAAGACGACAACGCTAGAGCGCATCCTAACAATGAAACTTCGGCCGGAATATGTAGAAATAACGGGTTTAATAGGCACAATAATTCATACCGCCAATACCTACAAATCACTGATCGGAATCACCATTCCTGGCATCGTTACAATGACAGAGTTGAAATGAATTCGCCATAGGTGGTTTGACGAATGGCGGTTTTTCGTCGCCTATCGTGTCCGCCATTCGGCTTAGATTATCGCGGCAAATGAAGTTTTCTGTACCCCGTCGGGCCGAAGCTAGATTTGCAATTTGATACCAATTGATGATCCGCAATTTTCGTGTTGATATGCGATTGTTTCCTCGCGTTAGATCATCATCTTCTTCGACACATTTCAAGTTCCTCCAAAATTATGTTCCGTTCGCAAAATGCGATCAGATGATTTAGACGTTTATCACCACATCAAATAGGTTAATGTCAAATAAGTCTGATACCAATTCGCCTTCTTGAAAGAAGAGTGATACAACTATAAAATTTGCTGTTACCATAATAGTTTTCCTTAAAAACACATTTAAACTATTAATATTTACCACGAGATGGCGCAATGACATTATGATCAATTAAGTTGAAGTGCGCAAAGCGTGTGATAGAAGAACGTCACATTTTCGGTTACGATTGCAGAGGTGATATACATTTTTGATTAGTTTTTGGCGTATTTTATGTTGTAACTGTTTAGTTCATAAAGATAGGTCAATATAAACTATATTTTACACTTATTGGTTTAACAAAAAAAACAGGTAAACGGCATGGTTTTAGAAATGAACCTTCAAGATTCCATAAAAGACTTGGAAAAAGGATTCGACTTTGGACGATAGACGGTTTCGGTTTCAGAAATAAGAGCTTTTAAACTTGAAAAAGCACATGAGTTAAACAAGTTTTACAAAAAATCATTCAGTGATGAAAACTTATCCAATTATGCATCATGGTATTGGGCTATAAGCCATATACTATCACCTGGCGCCGCTATTGAAAATCATCGTGTTTTGATCTCGCGAAGAGAATCATTAGATTAATGTTTGGTTTAAATCCTCTAAAATTCTGTAGACCGATGTTTCAAAATCAAAAACCAACTAACATTTATTAGTATTTACTCATTAAAGATACTGTGCTATGTATATGAGCGTAGATATTTATAGTAGAGTAGGGGGTCACACATAAATACCTGACTTTAAATTATATCAATTAAAATTGAATGCATACAATTGCAGGATATCTTCTTTTAAATATCTAGCCTCCAGATTTGCAAGAAACTACCAATCTTTCCGCATTTGAAAGAAAATTCAAAGCGATTTTGATAACAGAGACATTTTATGACCTAAATGAATTTAAAGAGTACTTGGAATGCTGTAAACTCCTAGTGTCTCAAACGGAATTGTGTCTTTAATGATATATTACTTAAAAAATTTTATATGTGGTAAGTCATGTTTTTGAATGTAAGAGAGGACAACAAGGCAAGGGTTGGGGTTTGCTTTCGGACTCATATTCTTTGGAAGGTAGTGGTGAACTCTATTTTGTGATAGAATGCTTAATATGTGGAAATTATTAGAGAAAACAACAGATGTAAGGTGATTGATTAGAATATCTAAGAATGGGAAATTATTATGTTACGGTATATATAGTTTAAATGACTAAGAAAATTTCAGAGGGATTGTTCATCATCATGCCAAATAACAAAAATATCAGCAACGCTGAGCTCTTTGAAGAGGCCAGATGAAATTCTGGCGAATTCATTTTCTTGTCATTGTCTTGGCATAGGCAAAAAGTTTATTATTATTATTATTATTATTATTATATTAGTAAATACTTTTGCAATGACATAGAAAAATATGTATATTTTTTATTTTATGTTTTATTTAGCAAATTTTGCCTACAAACTCCCTAGTACCAGCTTGCAATAGCATTCAGAAATACGATACTGCACTGCATACTAACTAAATATAGTACTGTAATAGAAGGTTACCTGGGCAATCCTAATTTAAAAAATGGGATATAAGAGATAGCGTTAGCGAAACCACTTTGCAACTGAGGAGATAAAGGTGGCTGCGCTATGAGCCAAAGATATTTTCCTCATTTTTGAGTTATGCCAGGCGTGGATGCTCATCTTCTGTTGGTGTGTAACATTTGGAGAAGTTTTCTCTGCTATGTGTGAAAAGTGATTGTATACTTTTTATTTATTGCACGGATAAAATATGATACAAATTAATATAAAAAAACAGAAAATATACAGGGTAGGTTAAAGAGAAGATATCAATTATGAATAAATGCCTCCCATCGGGTGAATTCCTTGATGCGTGGAAAATCGCGAATGTTGTTCCTGTTCCTAAGACTGCAAAACCTACCCAGACTTCACCTTATGTATCTATGCTGATAGATCTATCAGCATACTTCCAGTACCTTCAAAACATCTTGAAAAAATAGTAGTAAATCAGCTCTCAGAGTTTATGCCCAATAACAAAACTTTATGTCCTCCAGTGCAGTTCGGTAAAATCCTTGAAACTGATATCAAACTACGACTAACAAATTTGATTTTATCTCATATCGCTTCCTGTGACATAGTTGTTTGGCATGCTTTATTTCAGAAAGAAAGGAATAGTCTCCAAAAGCTGCAGAATGCTTCAAGCAGATTTGTCTATGGTGTGAGTAACTTTGATATTGCACCAACTCTTCGGATGGCTCACTTTTAGGGATTTGTAAACTTTGCATTTGGCAACTCACGACCCACTTGGATATTCCACTACACGGAACTGGTATAGTGTGCGTCGGCACAGCACTGACTTGTGCCAGAGAGGCTTTAGTTACAATGCCCGCAGTATCTTGAATTTCCTACCGCCTGACGTCAGATAAGCTCCAAACAGTACGATCTTTAAAAGGAAATTATGAAGTCATCTTTAGAACCGCCACAAGCTTGCACTAGATTTTTAACCTTTCATAATATAAATATCTATGTTTCTTTGAAACTTTTTGCATTGTCCTTTCATTTAATTATTTTTATTTTAGCAGCCTAGTTGGATACCGCCACCCATTATGTATTTTAGTTAACTCCTTTTTTTAATAGAACATTAATTTTTCAAAACTTTTTTCGACTTCTATATGCCCTAAAACATGTATACCCTCTACATTTCTGTCAGTAGAGAAAGTGGATATGGCGCGTCTCAAGAAAGCTAAACAAATTAAACAAATTACAAACTTCTTAAATTCTCGTTTTGTTTCCTCGTCCAATAAAAATTAAAATTTCAATTCTCTGACTTCCATTTAGATTCGCCTTATTCAACCTTTTTTAATGACAGAAATTTAACTGTGACAATTTAAGAACTTTAGTGGTGCTACCTACTTACCTGTTCATTACAAAATTAAATTTCCCTTTTGTGTTCTTTTGCTAATAAAAAGTAAGACGTAAAATATAGGGTACGCTACGTGAATTATGAATGAAATTTAAAATGGCTGGAAGTAGTTAAACCCAAATGTCACGAAGTTTTGACAGTGTTAGAAATTTACAGAAAATACGTAGTGCGTGATTCTCATTTCATTGAAAGTGATATTTTATTACAAGAAATAAAAGACATGAAACCCACAGCAGTTCTCTGTGTGTTTATCTCAGGTAAGATTCACATTATATTAGTGCTATATTGTTGAAGAAATTAAATTATTAAAGCTATATTTGTATATATACTAAAAATTTTAACAGATTTACAATTTGGTCTAACTTCTGCGAAGAGAATATTTAATAACGTTTACACTTCTAGGTGTGCCCCTGCGTACAACTCGTTCTTGTGATGAACAATGAATCTGTTCTATTATTTTACCAGAATTTTAAAGTAGTAAATGGGACAAATATATAAATATTGCGGTTATTATTTAATTTTTTTTAAAAACAAATTCCTAACAAAAACCTATTCGCCATTTTCATACATTTTTACTTATCTAAAAAAATTCTGGTGTTCACACTTGCAAAAAATACGATAGCGCCATTATTTTTGAGGGTAGTTTACTCATATTTGCTAATAGATTTATTCGATGATGACGTAAAAGCTGTATATTGAAGAATTTGAAATAGATGCTACAGGGTCTTCAAAAAAAAAAAAACGAATATGTGTGGATCATTTCAAATAAAAAAATATTCGCTTTTCTTAAATGGCACAACATACGTATTATTATTTTTTCTTAAAAATCTTACACAAACCTGCAACTTTTATTAAGTGTGTCATATACCTATTTTTAATACTTTACCTTTCTTTTCGTCTAAAACTATTTCTATATTAGTTGGCCATGAAAAAACTCTGTTTAACGTTATTTAACATTATTTAAACAAAAAATTTAGATCGGTATCTATTGCCACATTTATAATGGTCCATAAGTTTACCATTTGTTCTGGTATTTGTATATTAGAGTAGTTCCCCTTGTAAAGTCTTACTTAGTTTTTTGTCATGGAAAAATTTGACAATATCATTTTGTCATGATCAACTAATGTTTTAGTAATAGTCCTAGACAGAATGAATTGTAAATATTAGAATAGTTGGAATAAATCGCAATGTATTAAAAACAGGTACACGATATAATTAATAAAAGTTGTAGGCTTTTGTAAGATCTTTCAAGAAAAAAAATGGCGTGCTATTCAAGAAAATCGAGATTTTTCTATTTCAAAGTGTCCCAATGAATTTGTTTATATTGAACACCGGATAGAATCTAAATAAAATTCCGTTGCATAAATCTTTTACATCATCGTCGAATAACGCTCATATCAAATATGTGGAATAATTCTTAAATGTGCATCCTAACAATCCTTATAAATTTTCTATACGTTTTCTCTTTGGTACCAATGAGGAAATGAACTTTACTCTATTGCATCTCACCATGTACTTAATTTCTTGGGAAAGATCACGAGTTGACAGAAACCAACGTCAAATCTGATGTATCAAAAGCGGTAATATTTACGTTGTCTTGTCAGTCTCAAATTTTCAGTTCCCCACATCAAACTCGAGGACCGAGGAAGAATAAAATCCTTCGAAATGAAATGTATCGCCGGTTAAAATGCAGATGTGACATATGCGCCCCCAGTTTACTGTCGAGATTTATGCCTAAACCCTGTTGCATTAGATGGATCGGGCTGGTATTGAGTGTGGCGTTCATTGGATACGTTTTTTTGAGAGTTCTGGAACCCTGTAAGCCACTAGTCGACGGTCCCGCAGTGTACTAATATGTACATTAGTCAATTCGGCAGTTGCAAGAAACCAAGGATCCCAAAGTTTGAAAACTACAGTATTTCGGAGCATAATGCAGAGTCTTCGCTTTGCTCGTGCAAACCGACACTCAAAATTGACTCAAAATTTAGATTTTTGGAGGGAAGCAACGCGTCGACTTCTACACCGGATATACCACGCGGAGAACGGGAGTGTAGTTGCGATCTGTTGCTCCAAGAACCAGTTCGAAAAATTAGCGTCAAGGCAATTTTAAAGCAAGCCGATGATTGCTCAGATGGAGTTTCCGTTGTGACCGTCGCTTCTTCCAAGTCCAAAAATAACTGTAAGAAACTGTCGTTTGCGGGAGATCAAAAAAATGTGAAACGTTGCCCCCCACCAAATCCTAAAGACAAAAATATAAGTGTAAATGTGCAAGTAAACCTGAAAAAGAAGAGGAAAAAAAGGTGCGATTGTAACAGGATTGGAAACGAGACTGGCACTAGCACAAAACAAGTAAGAAAATGTGTTTGCAAACGGGAGAAAGTAAAGAAAAGGAAGAAGTCGTGCGAATGTCGTGTTTCAAAGCCCATTGTTATATTCAATAAGCCTCCCGAAAAGAGAGAAAATTTCATAATGGACGCCATTAAGAAATTCGTTTCTAATAATAGGGATGTAAATTTCTTCCCTTATTTTCATCTAAATAATCGAAACGGATCCCAACAACAAAGTGGGCCAGAGAAAACGGTACAGTACACTTGCACACAAAAAATTGACAAAAAACGGTGTAAATGTAAACACAAACAGACTTCGGTTGTGAGTAAGGCACCGCAATTGGAAGATATTAGAGAACATTCCTTTGAATCCCAGAAAAATAAAGCTTCCATTAATGCCTCCGTGGAAAGCAGATCAGGTAGAAGTAGCGCACCAATGTCAGAGAATCGAAACAGAGAACATTCCAATTCAAATGGAAAAAGCAACGATACTAAAGTGAACGCCTCTTTAAAGGAAATCTATACAGGAGGCAAAGCTTCTTATGACTCCCAAGCGATCGAGGCTAAAAAGGTTTTTGAATCTACCATTTCATAACATTAGACTTAATAAAAGTTAATTACTTGCAGTAAAAGATGCGAAATGAAACAATTGTCTAAATTAGAATTTATCCGAAAAAACTAGCCAAGCGGATATAAGGAATCATTCGATTGTTATTACGCAAACTTAGGAAAAATGTCGTATAAACGTTGTTTCATATTCTTGTCTTCGGTCCTTGCGTTTTAACCTGATATCATTTTACCATAATGGAATTTTGATTGAACCTAAAACATATTTGCAGAATCACCCCCTGGACAAACTAAAGCAAAATAATATGTTTTGTGTAAAAAATTGTTATGAGCAACATGAGCAAGCAACAGGTTTGTTGAATTAGCATGGTTGCGACTGCCTATTCGCTTAGTATTCAGCTGCGAACATATTCAACCAAAATATAGTATTTTCCTGTTTTTACTATTTACACAGCTTCTGGATTCCTCCTGCATCGGTTATTTCTAAATGGAACTTGCCGCTTTATTACAAGCAACTCAGGTGAATCCCGGCTTAATGTGAATTGAGAAAAAAAATTATAGAATTTTTTTAGATTAATTTTAAACTTATCCTGGCAAAAAAATTGCCGGTGTTGATCAACTTTTGGAGTAAATGGTTAATCTTCCTGCTAGGTCGGAAGATACTAAACTTTTGACTGATGTAATCAAGTTGATGGCGGCAAAGTTTTATGATCTTAGTGCTCATAAAAGGTTGTTACTTAGACATTCTTAGCGAAAAGTAATCCAGATTTTTCCTACTGACAAACTTTATAAGGAAATATTTTCCAAAAAAGTTAGGTAAGTTTCCAAAAAAATCAAGCAACCTCATCTTCAAACTTCAAGCGGAGGAAGAAAACAAACAAAGAAATAACTCGGAAAAGACATCGGAGACCCTGTCAGAGTCTATAGAGGTACATCGAGTAGTGAGAAGATCGAAACACTATCGTTTACCGTTTACACTTTCATATTTTTTTTCAAAGAAACAACAGGCTACAATAATATTATTTTCAAACCTTCTGGATTGCTTCTGCGTCGGTTATTTATAAATCAAACTTGCTGACGTTTCGTCAATCACTACATCGGCTTCTTCAGACCTGAACTGATTCCCATATTGGTGAAAGGTAGACCTGAGTCACGGTTAAGATTGTTTGGTTTTTCAGAGGTTTCTTTCTATGGATTCTCGGATTTTTCTCTGGTTGAAGAATTGATTACATTCAAGAATTTTAGTTTGATCGAATAAGATTTGATGTCTGGCTTTATGATTATATTCGGCAACTGTTGACAAGTTCATTTGTAGTCGTAAGGCTCTTTTATGTTCTCTTACCCTAGTTGATATTTTTCGTCCTGCTTCTCCAATATATGCATGAAATGCTGAAAACTCCTGGTATCTTAATTAAAATTTTGTCTTTGGTGGATCGAAGGTGTTGGGGATTTTTGGACAAGTGGTTAATCTGGATTTAACCTTACATTTGTTTGAATTCTAAATTCAGTGATTTTGGGTGAGATAATTTTGAGATTCTGTAAACATGCGAGTACGTAACCGATGATTTTCGAGCCAGATGATGATGGACAATGCAGTAAACCGTTAAGTAAGGTTTCTGTAAAAAAACCACTCAATGTTATTTCTGATTTTCTATTACTGGGAAGATCTATGAATGGGATATTATTATTGGTTCCTAATTCAATGGCAAAACGTATGTTAGGATGTATAGAGTTTAAATGGCTAGGAAAATCTCGGGGAATTCTAACAAAACAACAACAAAAATGTAAGCAACGCATTTTTTTTTTCTTTTAGGTGAATGGTGAAAAAGACATTCTTCTTCAAGTTCCTATTCAGTTTGATCCATTTCATTCTATCCCTCCGAAATATTTGAGTGCAACGGCAACCCCATATCTCTCACTACCTGAAACTCTACATGTTCGCTTTCAATATTTGAGAGTTTGCAGCTCACTAAATATAAGCTTTGGTGTTTCTTGAGTTCCTCCCTTAAATACTAGGAACATTTACCTTTCATCGAACTGACTATAGAAGTTCTTCTTCGGATTCCTCATATAAAGGGTTATCCAATAATAGGTGTTATTTTGATATTCCAAAAAAAATGTCATTTTCTGAGATAAGTGATCGCATGTTTATTTCGTGTTTATTAAAATGCCATTAAAAATGGAAAATAATGAGCCAAATGTCCACCATGAATACGCTTGCAGGACCATATCACTTTCATGAAATTTTCCATCACCAAATTCAAAGTGGCTGCTGTATGCTCTCCATAGCTTCACGAATTCGATATTTGAAGTATTGAAACGACGCTGGGCTGTTGGCGTAGACCTTATCTTTCAAGTGGCTCCAAAGGAAGAACTCGCAAGCTGTTAAATCGCAGGATCTCGTTGGACAATTGTGATCACCTCTTCGCGAGATAACAGGGTCAGTAAAAAATCTGTGGTGTCGTTGCTTGTGTGGCATCTAGCGCTATCTCTGAATTTAATAAGCCTTAAGACCCAAATCTGCATGCAAAATACGGTGCAATGACGTGTGTGGAATTTCAAAGAACGGCGAAGCATGGACAAATTGGAATTTTCTTCAACACTTTGGGCTGCAGCAGTTTTTTTGAGTTATGTGCACGGGTTTAATTCTTCACATAAGTAACTTGTCCAAGCAGGTCGAATTTTTAAACCAATTTCTGTAATGCGGTCCTTCACGACCACCCAAAAGCTTTAGAAACCGTCGCTGCCAAATTTTCATCATTTTTATAGTAAATTTTGATAATTTCAATGCGTTCATCGTTCCATTTTTATTAATGGCGTAGGTTCTACTTGTAAAATCTCAAAAAATTACAGTTTCAAAAGTGACATCTACCGAAATAGCGGGCTATTGAAAATAACACCTCTTATTGGAAAACGCGGCATACTCTACTCAAAATTTCGTATGCCATGTAATGACAAAATATACCCAAAACCCTTTCCCTTAAAAAAAATAAAGTTTCTTATTGTCCTGGTACTACGAACACATTTTGTATTTTACCTTGTTTTCCTCAGTGACCTCCTTATTGAGATAAGATATAGGAGTATCTTAAATAGACCACCATGTACTCAAAAACCAAAAATATGTCTTTACTGGCATTCATATTCAAAAAAGTTCTGAAAAAATGTTAGTGGGTCACCTTGGTTTACATTTTGAGTACTATGTAACTAATTCGATCTGATTTTATGCCTCCCTCCCTCCCTCTCCCCCCCCCCCCCCCCCTCTCTCTCTCTCTCTCTCTCTCTTTCTCTCTCTCTCTCTCTAATTTGTTGAGATTTTCAGCATCACAGTTTCGCCTTTGAGAGCATAGCTCCTAGTATTATTTATTGGTGGGCCGTACTCCCGGAAAGTCTTGTTGTTCTCCAGCACTACAGATCACTTAAAAAAATTTCGTCAAAATCAATTGCACGAAATAAATTCGTCTCGGCGTTTTGAAGTCGGAAATAAATTTCATAATTTATTCCTCAATTACTTAAATTCGCGACTTGTCTTCGTGCAGAGCGAAAGACGAGTTCCGGCGACTAAATTAGAGAATTTGACGAGATTTATGACCCGAAATGTCACCGGGGAAACTTTTAAATTAAATCTTGACAAAACGGTTTTAATGCGATTAATGTGCTTGTTTCGTATTGTGTTTCCGTTTAAGTTCGTTTACATTAAGCAATCGTTTTGGGACCGGCCTTACTTTTAACGAGCAGTTTAATATTTAAATTTCGCTTTATCAGTTTCGCCGCACAACAACTAACCAATAACTATGTTTGCAAACGCTTATTAAATTGGTTACTACATAAATAATAACAAATAATAAAAAACCATCCATTAGAAACGATCGATCACATATCACGTATCACGTATCCTGTCCTAGAAAACGACGCAGATGTCCTTCATTAGGATCGACCAATTGTCACACTGACCCACAACAAACTGTCTTTGAGAAAAGTCGAAAATCTTGGTATGGCATGTGGAAACTCAAAAAATTCAAAAATGATGGACCTAAATTCGACATCTCAGGAATTCGTAAGGTAGCAAAAACTCTAGACTTATTTACAAAATTTCATGGGGTTCAATTACAAGCAATAAATCATTAGAAACTCTAATATATTCTTATTTAAGCGGTAACATTTGTTTAAACACTTCGCGTCGATTTTTGTTCCAAACTCATGTTGTGCAATATAGACAAAATGTAGAAGTAGTGATGGATCGCTTCTCCATGAAATGATCCTGATGTCAGGATCTTATACTAATATAGCATTGAGTTATACAGGGTGTAATGAGAAAATGGTATGGTCTGTTCATAGATATTAGAAAGTAACCAATTGCTTTTGAATGGGATTATCCAAGGGTGGTCATTAACATACAATGCAACAAGATTATTACCTATAGTTTCGGAATTTAAATTCAGGTAAAATTGTGGTCCGTAATAGAAAATAATTTTATACCTACCTGTGTTTAATATTTAATTATGTGTAATATGTGAGAGTCTAGTCAGGAGATGATTCCACCCAAATGTAGAAAATACTATTCTGTTGAGGCTAAGGAAGTTATAAACAATGTTTATTTGACGTGGTGCCAGTAAGCAAGCATCTTTAGAAGAAACGGCCACATTGACGAAAATTCCAACATCAACTGTATGGAGAATTGTGAATAATCTCATTTCAGCGACGAAAAGAAGAAGCGATGCTGACATTTTCTCGAGTGTAGATAAAAGTGATTAAGATATAATACGGCTTAAAATTTACCAGTTATACGAGGAACAAAACGTGCCTACATTAGATATCTTAATTAGGAGGCTAGAGGAAGATGAAAGCGATGTTAAATGTGGCAGAACTACTTTATGGAAGTGTATTCAGTGTGGGTTTTACATTTTAAAAAAATCTTTTATATTTCTGAAATGGCGACTGGAATATCTAGAAAAAATTAGGATTTACAGAGAACAACAAGGGCCAATTATTTACCTGGATGAAACCTGGTTCGACACTTATGACACCCCGGAAAAGGGTTGGGTTGACTCAACTCACAAGTGTAAAACAAACGCGACATCAAAAAGAGGTAAAAGAATAACTATTTTGCATGCTGGC